TTGGCGGTAATGTTAAAATTAGCTTAGAAGCTAGCTAGGCGGACATGACGTTCAGAGCTACTAGTGAGAACAGACATCAACAACACGGAGGAAACGAGTGAGAGACCACATTGATGGACCCATAATCTAGTAAACGTTTATGTGTTGATGTTAAAGTAAATTGAGAGAGAGAGGGAGAGAGACTCGCAGCGCTGTAACTACGTCTGAAAAATAAAACTTCTAAAACTTTCCACGAACTGTGTCTGTTTGAGTTTATAGAGGAACATCTTAAGTATCAAATACAACCTTTCATTATTAAAGACTACTTTATTACTCTGTCATATATATATATATATATATATATTTTTTTTTTAACTAAGCAAGCAATCCACTTCCTGTTTACACCGTCACGCGCATGCCCAGTGTACGTTAATGGTCACGTGCTGTCCGCCTTCGAAGGCTGCCGTGTGGACGCAGATCAACTCGAGAATGATGCTGAAACTCCCGTGTGGACGGAGATCGTTTCTATTTGACAAATCTGCATCCAAGGAGAAACGGAGTAGTGTGGACAGTGCATTAAAGGCACCGCAGGGGTTTGCGCAAAATGCTAGCATCGGCATGCTAACACGCTCGCACATCTGCAATGCAAGCATGCTGATGTTTGGGTGTGATGTTGCCCATGTTTCACACACACAGTATTTTCAATGACTTTCAATTGTTTAGGCCGTTGTTCAGTGACACATACAGGATTTTGGCTTTGACAACTAGAAACATTTCAGATGTTTTTTATCTCGGTGTCTGAGATTAAGTTAAGAAACTACAAAAATAAATGCTCCTTTGTTATTTTTTCTTTCAGAACGAGAAGGTCGGTCGAGCTCAGTGACTCGCTACGGCTCCACAGACAGCAGCGGGGAGCATGACCATCATGACCATCATGACACCAACCACAGCAACCACCGGCTTCCCTCGCCGATGGCAGGTCACTGGGTCAGGGCCGATCAGGAAGAGGAGGCCATTCGCAGGAAACTGAAGTACTTCTTCATGAGCCCCTGTGATAAATATCACGCCAAGGGCCGCAAGCCATACAAGCTGATCCTGCAGCTGCTCAAGATCATTATTGTCACGGCTCAGGTGCGTCACATGCTACGTCTAAATCTTGTGTCCCTCTTTTGTTACGAACCACACGTCTGTGTTTCTTTGGGCCTCTGTATTTCAGGTATGTTTTTGTATGTACACTTCCTCTGTAGATGAATTCTGTAGTCAGAAATGTATACATGCATTCTTTATTTAGTTTTTGTCAGTGCATAACTATAACTATCTATATTTCCTGTGTGGGAGCTGTCAGGAATCTAGATCTAAGACAGGGATCTGTCTGATGAACACACAGGGATCTTTCTGATGAAGTGATTGACAATCCAGTCAGCTAGCTTTAAATCACAAAGTCTGCTGCATAGGTGCACCTGGAACGTTCCACCTCAGGGTTTTTTCTTTCATGCCTCACCCTCGCCTCTCTCTCTGCTGCAGTTGGTGATGTTTGGCCTCAGTAACCAGGTGGTGGTGAACTTCAAGGAGGAGAACACTGAGACCTTCAAGCACCTCTTCCTCAAAGACTACGATGAGTCCTCAGACGACTCCTTTGCTGTTTACACGCAGAGCGACGTCTACGACCAAATCTTCTACGCGGTGGAGCAGGTAAGCCCCGAGGAACTCAGAAAAGCGTTTTCAATCTATGAAACCACTTATTACAGTAGTGGTATCAGGTCTAATTCTCATTTTCTAAGTATTGTTAGGTGTGACGCCTGTTTTCTGTCATAACAGAACAACACAATAAAATTATTTTTTAAAGAAGGAGGTCACGAATCAAAATCCCACTGAGTTAGATGGATGGTGGTGTTAGAGAGCTTGTCGTCCTGGCTCCACAAAAACTACAGAGTGCCAATCGGCTTTAGTACTTGGCGCCCTACTTAGTTCAATCTCCTCCTCTCATTCTCTCCACAGTACCTGGCCGTACCAGAGACCACAGTGGGACGCTATGCATACGTCTACGGTGAGAACGGCAGCGCGCTGTCCCTCTGCCAACAGTACTACAAGAAGGGAAGCATCGACCCCGCCAACGACACCTTCACCATAGACCCTCACATCATCACAGGTACATGGACTTCTCTGTACAATGTGAAGGGGACATTGCTGGCCAGTTATTCCATAAGCGTTGGTAACAGTGCTAGAAGGCTGTGATCGTCTGTCTCTATGACGTTGTAATAGCTGTTTACATTTAATGGTGGGGGCTTTTATGGGTATGCGTGGCACAATTTTAAAACATATTTTTGTGAGAATTTAATGGAGTGTAATTGATGCATCACATGAAGTGAGCATTTGTGCTAGATTCAAGTTAACCAGAGCAGCTGAAAAACAAAAATGCACGCTTCACTTTTACACTAAAACAAATATATGGAAAAGTGGAGATAGTGCTACAGAGGCAGATCCCATGAAGAATGAATTGTTCCAAAAAAATGTGCTTCATGCATATTTGGCATATTTCTGCTGACATTAAAAATACATTTTGGGTCATAACGTTGCAGCCTTAGTCTTAATTTGGCTTCTAGTAAGTTTAAACACAAGGAATTGTCTTCAAAACAAAGTATTGTTTATCATATCGGCAATAATTGATACCAAGAGAGAAAAAAACCTTAATAATTGTGACTCATAATTAGAAAAGATAACCAAATTTTGCTATTTGAGAAGATGATGATGGCGCTACGCAATTACATTTGCGTTTTTTTCTTACCACGTTCAAGACATTGAGAGATATTAACGTCACTGAGTAACGTGGAATGTAATCATGTTGTTGTTGTTATTATTATTGTTATTATTATTATTATTATTATTATTATTATTAGTGTGTCAACATTGTGCATGCGTCCCTCTAGTCTAGGGACTGCTCAGGCTGAAAGCCCACTCTGTGTGTTCCTTCAGGAGCAGCAGAAAACAGTATGAGACGCTTGCTGGGTACAAAGTTGGCTTTGTGGTGATAAAGCATGCAATCCAGTGTGATTACAAACATTTGCAGTGGCAGTATAGCATTTGCCACTGCACTTAATCTGTTGTGGAACACCTGACCTGGTAATTATGAGGTAGCGAGTCGCAACTACGAGATACGGAGGTTATTATTACGTGATAAGACAACAATATTTGCCTTTGGAAAATGCAATGCCCTCCTGTAGATTGCACCTTTTGCAGACGTCCATGTTTTGATATTCTAGACACATTTTAAACGTCATTTGCTAAATGGCAGGTTTTTTTTGTAGTCCACCTCATTGTTCTATCATATGTTTTTCTCCTGTTATGGTATTTTATGTTAGTTTCCTGTTTCTTACTTCCTCTTATCAATGTGTTTTTGAACACAGTTTGGCCAAATCATGAGGAAGTAAGAACAGTTGAAACAATCTCATATTAAAATATCCGATGTATGTGAAAGGCTGACTTGTGGTCTGCTACTTCTAATAATTCTGAAAAGATTTCATACTTGTTTTTGAAACAGCCAAATTCTCCCTGTTTTCTCTTCAGTGTCAGTGTCAGTATTCACTCAACGCGTTCTCTGTCTGTCCTCCACTCATCTCAGACTGTGTAGGTGTAATCCCGCTGGCGGTCCCTCAAGCTCCGCTCACCGTCAGCTATAGGAACTTCACTCTCAAGTTCCACAAGTAAGGCTTAATTTTTCGGTCCACAAGCCGCTCGAGCATGAATACAAAGAACACTGACATAGGTTTTTACACACACACAAGTATGAATGCTTCCCTCTGAATCACCAATTGTTTGTGTTTTCTTTCTTTAAGGCTCATTAACGTCAGCATAGAGTTCCAGTTGAAGGCGATCAATATACAGACTATCATCAACAATGAGATCCCAGACTGCTACACTTTCCACATAACGGTGAGTGAAGATCTTTAAGGCAAAGAGTCGTAGGTTCAGTTCCCCGCACTGCTGAAGACCCCATACTGGGGATATCCAGGTGCGATGATGTTCACATGATATTACATATAATGAGGTTTGGTTTATTTGCTGAGCTCAAGGAGTATTGTGTTTTGTGTCTTCGTCCAAATGACAAACATTTTCTGCGTTTTGCGTGTTTTCTGAGTGAAGGGAGCGGAGCGGTTTGACGCCATGTTTTAGCCATGTTCAATTAGCTTGGAAAAAGTATGATTTACCCAGAATTTATTGCTCATTAGTCCTTAAGATGCAACAGATTCTTTTTTTGCATAGTCTGCATAGTTAGCTCTAAGCCATAATCAAGTCCCAGGCCCCTCGGCCATAACTAGGATTATTGAGTCTACAGAGAAATGATCGACCAGCCACCAACCAAACTCTGTAAAAAACAAAGTATTGCTTAAAGAAGTATTTAAGTTTTCTTTTTTTCTTATGACAAAATGTCACATTTTATTTAGTAATTTAACTGTCCAATTATATTTTCTGTACATACTATCTCTCTACATATTGTTCTAAACGTTGATTTGAAGCCTTCTCTACACTGTCAATCATGTACTGGAACTACAAGTGCACACAAAGGCCTAATAGGATAAAATGATGAAGTGATGACATTTTGGACAGACATGGATGTAAACTGTAACATGACTGGTTGGTGGACGTATTGAACCGTGAGGCAGTAATTCTGTTTTTAATTCTGTTATTATATTTTTTTTTTAAAGTCACGCTTTAAAATAGACAGTCTAAAGAAAAAATCGAAATCCTCTTTAAAAACTATCCTAAATGTGTGTGTTGTTGTATGTGGTAAACTCCTCTTCATGTCATTAAACCTCTCAAATTTCCAAAAATATGACAGAAGACATGACCTCTGTGTTCTCAACGGTGGCTGTGGCCCCACGTTTGAGAGAAACAATGAATCCTCTGAAGTTTCTGCCTCTCTCCTGCAGATAGTCCTGGACAACAAGGCTCACAGCGGCAAGGTGAAGATCCGGTTAGAAAACCAGGCATCAATAAAGGAGTGTAAAGACCCGAGTGTCTCTGGACACGGTGAGATGACTGCATCGACGGATGGGACTGACATAAGACTCGTAGCACTCATGGAAATACAGCAGCATGATAATGAAGCAGTAGCAAGCTAGCAAAGGTGTTAAAAGGACATGAGGAAATGCACATTAAAAAGCTGCTTTCAGTTACTCTCACTCAACCAACACAAAGTTTCATTGCGTGAAGTTATAAATACACCACCACCACTACTTGGCAGTAGTGGTATACCGCTACTACATCCATCTGAAACACTGCTAACAGCTCTGCTTCCTCCCTTCATTAAAAACCTCCAGCTGAGAACTATACACACTTGGCGTTCGACGTCGCCGTGGCTCTGGTGTGCATGCTGTCGCTGCTGCTGTGTGGACGCTCCATACTGCGAGGCATCACGCTGCAACAGGTACGACGACGTCTGTTACGGTTGAAATAAAATGAGCTCTGAATTACAGCATGAACATGAGTGTCCGGCCAAGTGAACCGTTTTTACTACACGGAAGCCTCATGCTTCAAGCCGATTCCTCTCATATGTTCTCTGTGCGTCCCATCAGGAGTTTGTGCAGTTCTTCAGGGAGACCTTGGATCGTAAAGTGTGCTGGGCGGACCGGATGGAGTTCATTAACGGATGGTACATCCTCCTCACCATCAGCGACATCTTCACCATCACCGGCAGCATCATCAAAATCGGCATTGAGTCCAAGGTGCGTCCCGCGTACAGTCACACCCTTAACTGACAAAAGCTGCTATAAGCTATAAGTGTCTTTCCTTATCTCCTCTCAGAATATGTCCTCATATGACTTGTGCGGCATCCTGTTGGGGACCTCCACGCTCTTGGTGTGGGTCGGAGTGATTCGCTACCTCACATTCTTCCAGAAGTACAATGTAAGACACAGACACACTGGTGTGCATCAGCTGGTAATGTTGTTAAGTGCCTTGTTGATTTAATGACTCGTCAAAAGGTGATTTAAAAACGCTGCCCTGAATGGTTTGATGTCACGTAATAAGTCCTGTGAATCAAGTGCTCCGTCTCTCACACTGTAATCCGTTCCAACGTCTCTGCTCCTTCCGTAGATCCTGATCGTGACGCTTCGAGCAGCGTTCCCCAACGTGATCCGGTTCTCCTGCTGCGTGGCCGTCATCTATCTGGGCTACTGCTTCTGCGGCTGGATCGTCCTGGGCCCGTACCACGTCAAGGTGAACACAGCTCAAACTAACAGAGATGGAATCATTCGGTTTAGGAAATGTACATTTATTTATATTGACATTTAAATTAAGGTCTGTTAATAATATATTAAGCAGACAATTTGGCATACTACTGAAAAAATGGCAATTAATTTGCACGAAACAGTACAAATTCAAACAAAATGTTACACTGTCTCTACCATAAAAATGCCAGCATGCCTTTTTGGTAATACATTTTTATTTTTATATAAAAATTGAAATAGTTTTAAACGTTTTTTAAACGTACAAACACTTACCTCGCTACAGCTGCTCCATAAATTCTCCTTTTGTAATCATTGCTTACACTTTTTAACATGCATATGGCTCTTTTTTTTTTATATAAACTACTACTTATAGGTAGTATTTTATTTGATTGTATACATAATCTCTGCCATTTTTAAATCTACAGAGTCTTTGCATTTAGGAAACTGTGTTTGTCAGTTCTTAAAAAGCATTTTGGTTTACAATTCTTGTGAAAATACACCAGTCCTATTGGCCTGAGCCACAAAACCAGATTCAAACAGAGAAGAGTGTCCCCGTTCTCAATAACTGATGTGAAGCCTTGTTCCCATTAGAAACTCTCTTTGTGGACACTTCTCCTCCGACAGAAAGTGACTCAGTGAAACTTAAACCACAGAAAACTGGACTCACTCATAGCTGTCGTCCCTCTCATCCCCTAGTGGACACCATGAGTCTTATGCACATTATTGCTGCAGCCAGATTTTTCAGGAAGTTGTCTCTCACTGCCACATGTGGAGCATTAACCACTGAAACTGATGGCTTTGCTAACCGACGTCAGTCTGCAGAGGCCTGATCACTGTTTTCTGTCCCTCAGTTCCGTTCTCTGTCAATGGTGTCAGAGTGCCTCTTCTCCCTCATTAACGGGGACGACATGTTTGTGACGTTCGCGGAGATGCAGGAGAGCAGCACTCTGGTGTGGCTGTTCAGCCAAGTGTACCTGTACACCTTCATCTCCCTCTTCATCTACATGGTGCTGTCGCTGTTCATCGCTCTCATCACGGGAGCCTACGAGACCATCAAGGTAGGAATTGACTTCACGCCCAGCGGGAATAGATGGAACACAGGAGAAAAATAGAGTAAAAAAATAACAAAGATGTATGCTCGTTGACTTCCACAGCACCAAACACAAGAAGCCTTCCACATCACAGACCTGCATGCCTTCATAGCAGAGTGTACGGACGCACCCAATTCTGGGAAGTTCAGAGGTCTGGAGACCTCGCCGTGCTCCTTCTTCTGCTGCTGTGACAGGTGAGGAGGAGAGGGCACACAATGATTATCTATTATTAATATTCATGTCTAAGTGTATCTAAACAACACGTCAGCAGATAATTACTTCATAACAGACAGTAGTAAGTATTTTGAGGTAGAGTGAGCACAGTGAAGATCACATTGGAAAAAGTATTTTAATCCTTTTCCATTCCAACATCATTTTAAAGGTAGTAAATTTGATATTCAGAGCATTAATGTAGCAGCAAACGACTATTTGCAATGTAAAGATATAGTGGAGTAATGTCTACCTGAGCAGAGAATGAAGTCGCTCTCCCTCTACCAGTGTTGTTATTCCCGTTGCCGTTGTTTGCACCGTTTGCACTGTTAGCGCCGTTAGCTGCGAGCCGCGGGGCTCAGCCGTCGCCATGTTGAGAGCCGTTTGGAGGCAGTTCCTCAATCATAGCACTTTTACATTTGTATCAGCAAATATTACCATTATGTGACTCTGTAAAAGAATACTTAATTCGTAATTATGATGTGAGATCATTACATCTTCCTTTGATTTCCCCCAGAACAACAACATATGAGGACGTCCTGCTGGTAAACTGAAGTTGACCTCAGTGACCTGAGAAGCCTCACCGTCCCCCCCTGCTGACCACAGGGGTACACTGCACACTCCTGCCGCCCCTTTTCTCTGTACCAACATGCCGTATTTCTGGTCAAACCTCATGGGGAGTCACCATCAGCTGGACCAGCACTCTGTTGAAGAAATGTGGAACAACTTATTGGACCTCATGTCTTTTCTGTCCATAAAGAAGAAAAGACGGGACAGGACTGGGCAGCATCGCGGATGACTAATGCACAGGCACTTCTCTGTTCCTTGTTGGTTTTCAAACGACAAACTGTTTCTTTTCTAATGTATTTAATGAAGCACAATGCTGATCCAGGCCTGTTAAGATGCTACGTGGGCACATGTGCCACGATGAGGACGGGGAGGCGTGCATACATGGTGCTGACGGTTTTTGTTTTTGTTGCGCTTTTTATTTGATTTGATAGTATTTCAAAATAGGTTACCTCTTGAGGTCAGGGCACTTTTACATCTCACAAAACAACTTTGTGAGATGTAAATTCACACAGAATGAGGGGAGAATCCACCTCGTCGTAGTCTTGTCTTTTTTGAGACAATCAAGGAGATGGCTTCCTTGAAAATGTCGGGAAACAGGACCACAAGCAGATGTGCAGCGTGAGGTTTCCGATTTGTTTTCCTCTCCCGTGAGCTGCACCTTCCGTATAAAGTTTCAATATTTAGCTGCGGTTGTACTGCACAAGCATCACGTTGCCTTCAAATGTGAATACTAGTGTACTGCTGTAGCAGACTGTGTGTGATATCTTTTGCATTCTTCTGAGTAATGAAGCACTCAACATTGCCTGTGGTTAGCTGTCCTCCAGACTTGTATACGTGTCTCTTTAATGGCGTGAAAGTATGTCAATGAAAACAAGAGAGGTAGAGCGCCGATGGCAGTCCTCAAACCGTATCTTACGTGTTTTAAGAGAAACATGACTTGAATCTCCTGACAGAGTGAAGCAGGGTTTAGGGAAGATAACAAGAACTTAATGATGCTGCCAGAAACATGTTCGCATCTCCATAATAATGTCCCATCATACTGAATCATGCTTTTTAGTCTGTTTGTTATATTTGATGTCTCTATACCAGTGACTTGATGTTCAGGAGACGCTTGAATCTTTTTTTTTCTTTGTAATGCACAATATCAAAAAGGAGTCTCACAGAAAATAGTTTCTTACATGAAAGAGAGATGATCTCTGGTCCAAGCTGTGACAAGTTAATAGATGTGGGGGTACATTTTATCTAATGAACCAACAGTGTCGCATTCAAGCTAAATATGCTGTTGGGTTTTGGATCTAGATGGCAAGCGTGTGCCACACCCATCAACGGTCTTAACTTAGTTATACGTCATGCACGTATATATCATCTAGTATTACCTAGATGTACCTTTCCTACAGTTTGATGTTTTTGTTATACAAATGATCTGCATTTGAAGGTTGTCCTGAAGTCATCTACTTGGTGTCATATGTATCGCCAATCTACAGATTTAAGTTTCACGGATCATCGTTGATATTAAAACGTCGTTTTGTTTCATTTTCTGTCGTGATTTGTTTTCATCTACAGCAGTCACCCTCAACTTAAAGGGACAGTTCACCCAAAATAAACAAGTGTAGAACCATTTGTTTGTACATGAAACGGCTCACAACTATGTCTGCGGATTATCTTGTGTAACCGGGTCATGTTTTCTAGGAAGAGACATTGCTGTTGAGGTTTTTTCAAACGCTTTGAGCACCACAAGCTAAGTGCCGTATAGTCCCATTGTATTGGAAAGAAAGCAGACATCATTACGGCCGATATCTCTAAAACTAGGCAACACACACTAAAATGATCTACATTGATGAATAACACTGAAAATGTGTATTTTTGGGGGGAACTGTCCCTTTCAGGCCCGCGGGCCAGATAGGGTGCTGGGTGGCTGACAGACAATTCTCTAATTTACAAAGAAAATAAATGGGAATTTTTTTATTGTACTAATGTAAACAATGTGCCCGTGTGCATTAAAAAAAACATCAAAATAATTAATAAATCAGTTAAATTGAAAATAGTGTCAAAGAAAAACGATTTTATTGTTTAGTCGTTTTACCTGATAAATATTATTAGTGTTTGTTTATTAAAGTATCCCTGACCAACAGTGACTTGACTTGTGGTGCAGTTCCTCTGACTGTCAGAAGAGGGAGATCATGTGTCTGGATACTGATCCATGCTACACTGAACTAAAGAACTACTACTCTATTTTTCTACTTTGTTGGCAAGTGTAGAAAAAAAAAAGCACTTTGAGGTTTTAAAACAAACTATGATTCTTGTTTTTGGCGAATAAATCCTTTAAATCTGACACAACACAGCTGTTGTGAATACCGTGCAGGTTTTAGTTGAGACGCTGCAGCACAGAAGCTCTCAGAGATGGCAAATCTGGACCTTTCTGTTCCCCCAGAACAGTCCGATATGATGAGCTCATTTCCTGGTTATTGGACTTGGCAGCTGAAGCAGCACATCGCTGCCTGCTACCCACTTAACCTAACATCACCATGCATTATGCACTGCTCTAACCACGCCTTGGTGGTTCATGTGAGACCCTGTGAGAGGGAAGGAAATGCACTCATAGATGAATGCGTCTCATTTTCATTCATTTTTCTTAGAATAGAGAATTATCCTTTGTCTTGTGATGCGGGACTACTTTTACGCAGTACCTTTGATGCACAATGACTGTCCTTTGGGAGTGTCTTGCTCCATAAGCTGCTGGTCCATCAGTTGTAGTTTCCGTGTGCTGATGCCGGGTGTGGCTCGCTGTTGATGCCAGGTTGACACTTGTGGCTCGCCGTTTGAAGTCCTGGGCCTTTTATGTTAACAAAGCAGCACAGATCAAAACTGCAACAGCTGCCGCAGCAGCAGTTTCCTTTTCCTGTCTTCTATCATTTATACTGAGTCACTGAATCAGCAGCCTCCTTGGGTTTGTGTTTGGGGTGTCAGTCTGTGTGTGGGCCTGCAGAGTGGGTTTCGTGCCACAGGCAGTGCGTGCAGCTGTCTACGGTGTAGGTGTTTTGGGCAGACCGCACCAAAGAAACAGATTTAGGTGTGTGTATAAAAGCTCTGTAGATTATCAGTCTATCCAAATTCTGTTATGTCTACCAGTGCTGAGCCACACCCTTGTGTAACACCATTACGAGGCAAACTGAAATGGATGTGCAGGATGCGAAGGGGATTTAGTAGCTTTTTCAGCTCTGGGATATAATGATAGACGCCATTAGTGCCGAGTTTAGTCAAATAAAAGAAGGAGCCTATAAAATGCTTTACTGGTGGATCCACACCCAAGAGGCAGCTTCCTGTGCCAAGAACTTGGGTTCTGGTTTTGCATTAACGTTGACATTATTTTGCAAATGCAACTGTTTTGAAACCAGTTTTTCAAAGGATGCAGCAGCACATTCGTTTTAGTGTTCAACCTGCTTACTAACAATGAGTTTAAGTTGAAGATTTAGTGAAACTTTGAGGAGAGTTTTGGGGTTTCCCACCCCGCTCTGGCTCAGTGCTGCTCGCCGATTGGAAAAGGCTGACAGGCTGCTGATGAAATAGCTGCCTGAGTCCTGTAAAGAGCTGGGAGGGAGGGATTGAGACGCAGAACTGAGACATGACTCACACACAAACACACTCACTCTTCATTGAGGTACACTTAAGAATGTGTTCACTGACGAGTCCACGGTTGATGATTTCTGGTAAGCCTTCATTCCTCCCTTCGCTCACAGAGTTTTAGATTTCTCTTTGCCCGTAGGCTTTTTTTTTCTCTCCTCTATATCTCCATTCTTTCTCCTCGTCGCAGAGCTTTACTAAACAACAGCTAATGTCAGATGTCTTTAGCCATTCACTCTTTCTTCTCTCTGTGAGTCGCAATAGTCTTTGTATGTCTTCTCCCTTTTTCATTCATTTCCATTGTGGAGCCTGCAGCTGCAGCTAAAAAAAAAGCATTGAACTCTCAGCTATTGTGGGCTTGTACCATAGGGAAGTGGACACAGTGCTGAACTACAAGCACAGATAATGAAACTTCTGTCGGAATTTGTTTTATTCTGTTGCACTCCGACTATCAGAATGAAAACCCTAAGTGTATGTGAAGGAGGAAGAATACTAATTGTGCAAATTGGTGTGTCAAATTTGATTTAAAGCACAGAGAATAAACACCTGGGTGAAATAAAAAGGCAGGGAGTGTATGTGGAGTGTCAGCGCTACATTTCTTATTAATTTCATGCCTATAGAGCCCTTAAACAGAGATGTATGGAACCTCTGTTTGATGAGTTGCATTGCTCCTTTGACTCTTTCTTGTCACTTGGTACAAAATGAGAGAGAATCGCACACTTGGCCCATGCAACCGATGGAAACGCAACAGTGGAAACAATGAAACCTCATTGCAAGTAGTAGGCCTACTTCCACAAATTCAAATATTGCTGATTTCCATGTAATTTAAGTAATAATACCATTTAACGTAGCTACAGAGTGCTTTACAAGGAAAATAATGAAACAAAGACTAAATGCAAAATGCAAGAAAAAGCAAGAAATTAAATTACAAAAGGAAAGGACAGTAAAATAATGTTAAGATACAAATATATAAAGGCAAAAGCAGTGTGCGTACTGTCTCCTGTTTGATAATTAGAGATATGACTTATAACTGCAGGATCATATACAGGTAGTCTACCTGCTTATTCTGGTCATCCTGTCTCCTGGAGACAGTTCCCCAATTTAATGGAAATACAACACTATGTTGCTGGAATCCCCCTTTAACCTATTTTCGCTGACTTCCTGTTTGGAGCACTTGGAGCGTGAGGATATTTTGCTTGTTCTTAACGGAGCTAAATTATTTAGGGACTCTTTCTATTTAAAGATACCAGATTGTAACCATGCACTCTTCTTCTGTTGCTCCTCTTCTTTTGTGTTTTGGGTGAGCGGTACAATAAAAACAAAGCTCTACATCTATTTAAAAAAAAGCGCTCTCTGACCTCAATTCTTTTGAACACTTGAGTAGTCTTCCCAGCACCCACTAAACCCGGACCCGAGAGCGCGAGTTTGGTTTGCGTCTGACGTCACTCCTGCTTTGCATAACCACCTGGTCTCGCGCAGTTGATTGGACCGCTCGCGGGATTTAATCTGCATCTTTTTTTCTTTTTCTTTTATGACCACCACGCTCCGTCTTCTTCAATCTGCTGCCAGACTCCTCGGTCACTCCCCCCCCCACCACCCCGCCCGAGTCCATCCTTCATGAAGGGAAGCGGAGCAGCCTGCCGCCGTTCAAACGTGGAGGGAAGGACACGGAGAGGGACGCTCAACGGGGTTATTGTTAGTCCGGTGAAATCCCCTGGAAGGTACGGATAATTTATTTATTACATTGTTCTTGCGCGAGCGAAGATATTTAAGTTCACGGCATCACGTTCTCGTTTCTTTGTGCCGTTTTTAACCGTAAAGTAACGTTGCCTCAAATATGACTTGTTTTGCTTGGGTAAGCTCGCACTCTTCTTTATTTTTTTGGTGCTAATTTAACTAGACGTGCACGTTTGTTTTGAAGACAGACGCCCTCTTTGCAGTGTGTGGCAGGATGTGATGATGGATGTGTAACGCTAGCACGGCTCGGGTCCGTCGGGCGGTGACAGACTGTGGTTTCAACGTGCGTTTCACCCTCAAAACGCCATTTATTTTGGCTCTACAATGGTACAAGACTCTGCTGACACGGTCTCGGTTGTATGGGCTTCAATTTATTGACCGGCTTTGTGTGTTTCTCTCCGCGAGCTCCTCCACCGCTATTGTTCTGTGAGGCTAAACCGGGCCTTTGGCTAAACCTGGGAGAATTCAGCGTGCTTGTTATCAGAGACAAATAACACCATTAAAGCTCCATTTGAGGTTTGGAGAAACACCATAAACTGTCAAAACAATTGTACCAAAGTGGGCTCCTGGGACCACCTAGGGCTCCTTTGACAGGGGCCCAAACAACACGAGGAACTGTTTAATAATGTTGGTGTGGGGAATAAAATGTACAAGAAGCATATCCCATGTGTTTGACACGAACTACTGTTAAAAAAACATCTCAGCTGGGCTTTTAGGTTGTTGTTTTTTTTGTCAATGTTTAGCATTTAAGATTAGTTGAGAAAAAATAATTGCTGAAAACTTGCTTTAATACATCAGCAGCATTGATGGATATGAAAGTCATTTTGAAGTAGCTCATACCCAGGTCCTTCAGGTCCTTCTCGGTTGTCTCTAACATCCCTGTTTTCATATTTGCATCCCTGCACATGGAGTGATCTCATTCTCCATCTGAGGAATACAGAGAGCTCAGAGGCAGCCTATCGGACGGCATCGTCTGCAGATCTCAGCGATAGAGGGATTACGTTTATCCTCCAGGTTTTTGGCCGAGAGCCTACATTACATAATCGGGGTGTTTTGGGGCTTTCTGGGTGTGGTGGGCAGCGGTTCTCTCTTTGGCTTTAGAAAGTTATTTGACATGCAGCAGGCACTCACTGGGGAGGGTGTAGCTTCCTGTGCTTATACTGCCAGGGTGTGTGTGTGTGTGTGTGTGTTGATTTGTTGTTGCTGAGGAGTTTAAGTCACCTGAGTATGAAGTCAAGTGTGAATGACACACACGCATCTCCTCTGGCTAAGCTCGAAGAGCTCATTGCAGGGTCACTGATGCTGCGTTGCCCTGAATTTGAAGGACTGGAGTGTCGTCTGATGCCCTCTGCTTTTCACTAGTCTAATGGTGCGTTGAGGTGAACCTCGTTAATGAATAAAGTTGGGAAATATCACGTGACCATGTTATATTTGTCAGGCATTTGCACTTAGTTGGTTATCAGATGCGGTTCGACAGTCACATGTTGAAGTGAAATATTTTTCTACTTGCACTTTTAGCTCTTTTAACTCGTGTTTTTTTGATATTGTCTTTACTTCCATATTGTTTGGAGTGCTACAGTCAACCTATGTATCAACCAAAAATATATCCTTTTTTCTCCCTCAATATGTAGAAAAACATGTTGAATTGGCAACCTTGGGCCTTTGATGACATATTTAATGTTTTGGATGTTTGATGTGCTCTACGTGATCAAACATATCTTACTTATGTTTGGGGAAAAAAGTAGTTTACCATCAAAGCTATGTACAGTATGTTATTCTACATCATGACACATATGTTTGGGGTTAATTTGAGTCCAAAGAGGTCTAACTTCCTCATAGACCTGTTGTGGGATTTGGGAGAGGAAGTCCTAAGAAGGAAGTACGGTCGACACCAATCAGAGATGTAGAGCAAATGAACCTCCATCGGTAGCTGGTGTTTTTGAGACCCCAAACTCAAGTTAATGAGACGCGTCATCAGTTCGAAACCGTTAATTCTGGCGTCCCTTTTGATGCTAGACGGGTTCTGTGAGAGACCAACACACTTCCAGCCTCGGCCCATGTTTTCATGCACAGCCACTTCCGCTGTCAACACCCCCGTCTCCCCTTCCTCTTCCTGAAGGCCAAAGCAAACCAGAAGAGGAGCTCAAAATAGTTTCCTCATTTCACTTCATCCTACAACCTCGTGAGAAGTCTCGAGGGATCAGATACGGTGGTTCAAAAAGAGGAAAGTGCAAACATTATGCAAAGAAGGTTTTTAATCATGATTGGATTGTGTTTGCTAAATCACAAACATTCATTCCTTTTTTGTCGGTTAGCTCGCTGGGTAATTTTTTTGTGGTAGTGTGACTGTGGGAAGTAAAACCAGGACTGATTGAGTGAAATACCTGTTCTGTGTCTTCACTGAAATGCCTTAAACACCCCGGATGCTTTCTTCTCAACTCCTTGACAGCTTGTCTCACGCTTGGAAAGCTATCAGACTTCAGCAACCTTAGCCAGCTTGCCAAAAAGTTGATTTTTATCTGAGCCGACAGGTCTGTGAACAAACACTGGCTGCTACCGTCTGTAGTGTCGGCTTCGCCCCTGTTAAATGGTGTGATCTGCTGTTGGATTAATACATCTGAGGGCTGTTTATTCAGCTTAGCGTGGGTTCATGTGCAACAGCTGTGAGAGGTTATAATGATTGTGGATGCCGGGGTCAAGGGTTCAAATCTATTCTCCACCGTGATTTGGCATAATGTACACATGGATCACTCTCTGATCACAGGATCATGCCTGACATTAAAATGCTGCTCTATGTTGGTATTTACAGCATGAAATGTGTCACTTTTTAATGCCACGATCCAGCAGTGACATGTATGGGACTACAGCTGCAGATGGAAAGTACAGATTAACCTGTGACCGACTAGCAGTCGTTAATGTTGGTTCACAAAATGGCCATCATCACTATTGATTCATCAATTAAATCAAGAAATTGATAGTTTGCTCTGTACAACTTTCTGAGAGCTTGAGTTGACACATTTCAACAATCCAAAACTCCCCTGGAGAAGCTGGAACAAGTAAATGCGCATACTTAAAAACACTCAATTGACTGTTGTTACTGATTGACTAATCGTTATCTGTGCCACAGGGACATTGGCACTTTTCAACTCGCTCAAAAATCCGGGCAGCTGAATGGAAAGCACAGACTCTTGTGCAGGGCATCTGCTTGGAAGTCAGCTGCTTTTTTTTACAGCCGTGTCGGACTCAGGCCCACATCCATGGAAATTCAATCCAAAACTCCCGCCAGGTTTACTGCATCGGTTTAGGATGAAATCTGGGGTTGAACTTCATTTCATCATCCAGCCTTAAGGTTTCCTACGTATCGCCTGTGTTGCTCTTGGCTTTGACTCTCGCCGCTGTGGTTTGGAGGCTGGCGCTCTCCTGCCCATTAGGATGAAGTGATGGATGCTGGGGTTGCACTTTTTCTTTAAGGCACTCCGTCTGTCTGGGACTGTGAAGCCGGGCTCCGTGCACTGTAATTATCTTAAGAGTAGTTCAGCACTTTCGTAGTCTGTTTGTTAGCTCACTTTGGTAGCCTTGAACGCCATCCCGAAGACATTCAGCTGTGCCATGTTAACACAGAGCTTTTTTTTTTTTTTTTTTTTTTTTTTTTGCCTGTGCATTTAGTGTTTGCACTGCTACATATTGCAGCATTATATAGATGGGTTATATTTGCAGCTAACATGAGAAATAAGTGTAGATGATGGGAAAACCTGTGCATATATAAGAGAGGGGGCTTAAGTATAATGTACCAGGGTGATGTTTTCTTGAGTTCCGCGTGTAGCAGCTGTCTATTGAAGCAAAGCTGTATGTTTTGAGCACTTTAGTTATTGATCCAGCTCTGTCTTGCTGTCAGGGTGTGTTTGTTTGTGTGGAGCCGGCTGGCCGTATCATGTTATCACCCTCTGCCTCGTGATATGCAAGAGAAAGTCACTCCCGTGTGTATTCAGTAATGGGTTTGTGTGTATGCGTGTGCGCTTCGTACAGTGCAGGGGTGTGGCTGTTGGAGAGGTGTGGGATCACCGTCCAGCTGACCCCAGCTGACCCTGCCCACTCAGAGGCCCGGTAACTGATCTGGCCCTCGGGCTCTCCAGCAGTATATTGACTATCTGCCTGGCTTTCTCTCTCTGTAGTCAGTTGGCCGGTGCACAGGAAAGTAGCCGCATGGCTGGCTTTAGTGTGGCAAAACTGATGTCGGTGCTGGCTTCTCTACAGCCTATCATCCTTGACAGAATCTCTTAATTTAGTCATTTTTCATGCTGTTGGTGAAAATGTCAAAAGCTCTTAACACAAAATAATGAAGTGATGTTGGGTAGCTTTTCTTCTCCAGCCCCCCTCCTTCTACTTATATTAGTTTGTTGACATTGGAAAGCAAACAGGAAATGGAAAGAGAGGAGATAACGTGGGACAAAGGTCCTTTGTAGGATGCTGGTATGAGTTTTATACTGCAGCATGACTGGTCTAGATCTACTTTATAGCCATGGCTTCGTCCTACAACTCCCTCCCTTCCTTTTTATTTCCCATCCACTTCTAGCGACCTTTCTACTAATTTCTACCACACATGCTCTTTTTAAATGAGGTTAAACTTGACTTTTGTGAAGTATTCACTGTTGGTCATCTTAACATTTAACTGACTTCACTGATCTAAAAAATGAGAGAGGGAGAGAGAACAAGTGAGCAAAAGCAAGCCTGACCCAAAACATTTTTTATTTATTTATTTAACCTTTATTTAACCAGGTAAAATCAATTGAGAACCAATTCTCATTTTCAATGATGACCTGGCCAAGAGGCAGGAGCACAGTCCACACAAGTTACACAAACACAGATACAATACAGTATAACAAACAATGGAAAAATGACTAAAACAACCTAGATAAAATAATAAACACTATGTACAAAATAAAAGGCAGATTACTGGATGTTATTTGTAAAAAAAAAAAAAAAT